AATTCAGCAAAATATATTCTTCTTTCTTCTGAACAATTTTCTCAAACTATTGTGTTTGATCTTTCTCCATCCCCTCTAATTACATCTCATACCCTTACTTTAAAGGCATTAGCCTTATCTACATCTTTTCGATTTTTAGGTGTTTGGTTTAATCTTTTGGCTTCTTCTCTTTTTGTTCACAACCAAACTGTTTCCATGGTCAAATATATGGCTGTTTTACTTAGTCTTAAAAAACTTTTGGCACAACATGTGGCCTATCTTTATAATATTGTTTTACTTTTGAGGCTAGAATTTCGCCTACAATCCACATTATTTGCTGAATCCACCATTAATCGCATGGTTTCTCCAATGCTTTCTCTTATTCGTCAGAAGGCTGGTTTGGCCTCAGTTACTCCTCTCTCTGCGCTTTTCACATTGTTGCCTTTCTCTATCCAACAAGCGTTTGGTCGATTTCTATCATCTCATGTGGCTTCATGGCAAAGAATTTTTTCTCACCCTTCATATAAGCTTTTTGCCAACTATATGATTACCTATCTCCAAGGATTTTTGGATTGTGATGCCTGTCCCTCTACTATTGATTTGGAACCATGGTCCTATACCTTTTTCCTACGAACACATTCTTTGTTCAATTCTTTATTGTTCTCTTCTCGATTGAATATCACGTGGTCTTTATTGTTCCGACCTCCGAGGAAAGATTTACGACTGGCGATTCCACTCCAGTCTATTTTACCAAAAGATTTATTTACTTCCATGAAAAATGTTCGGAAAAATTTCTGCACTCGTTTTCTTGCTCAACTGATTACACCATGTGGCTCTCGACTTCTCTCATGGAAAGATTTACGATTTCTTAAACGAGTCTCGAACAAAGGATCTGTGCCTGTTTGGTTTACTTATTTATTTAATTTTATTGTTATTTCTAATTCTTCTTCTTTTTTTGTTTTACCACAATTTAAAATTCCTATTTCTCATACTGTAGCTTCCATTTCTCTTATAGACATTAGTCGTAATTATTGGTTTAACCCTCAATGGGCTATTTCTTTTAATCGCAATACTAACTCTTTCCTCGTTGGCCATGTGATTACTACCTATCCTGCTCCACGTAATGAAGCTCTTATTTCACATTGGATTGCGTCATTGGTTGATGATTTGGTTTCTGAATTTACTGCATGCCAAGGATGTGCCTCTGCTATTCTGCGATCCTCTACCTCTAAGACTTTGATTAAACGATGTCCCTCTGAAGGATGTTTTTCTTATGTTCCGTTATCAAGTTTGATCCGTTATCCTACGAAACCTCGTACTTATATACATGCGGATACTCGCTCGGTTTCACTTTCTGCCTCGTTAGGCTATGCCAAATCCCTTTTGTTATTTCATCTTTTTGCTTTGGTTCGGCTACCTCCTGTGCTTAACCAAGCGCCTAGGATTTCTGATATCCAACTTCCTTTTTCGGTGTCTACACTTTATATTGATGGTTCCTTCCTTCCTCCTTCTAGTCATCCGGTATCATCGATGGCTTATGCATGGACTGCTATGGATATTGATGGATTCATTTTGGACTCTCACTATAATATTATTTCTTCTATTTTTCCTTCTGCTTTACGTTCAGAAGTTTTTGCTTTATTGCATGGTTTGGACTCCCTCCCTCAGAATTCAAAGATTACTGTCGCTACTGATTGCGCCCAATTACTTTCTTTATGGTCTTTGTATGTGGATGCTCCTTTTATTCCCAGAATGCTTAAAGAATCCAACCACCTTTTGTGGTCCTCTATACGCACTATTATGTCGCAAAAGAATCTGAATGTTCTCTTGATCAAGGTTCCTGCTCACGCTGACGACCCTCTGAATAATCATGTGGATGCATTAGCCAAAGCTGCTCATACCGATTCAAACCTTTCTTCTCGTCCTTTATCGGATTTGCTGGCTCCTTGCATTTTACAATTTAATTCCTTACCTGTGGATATGAATATCCGGAAATTTATTAGAGATATTTTTGATGCAAAAAGTCTTTTAACTCTTGCTGTATTACCAAGATTTATTTCCCATTCTTCAACTTCTGATATCGATTGGGCATGCACCAAATTTTGTCTTAACAATAATAAGCAATTTATCTCTCATCAGAATGGCCATTCCGAGTTTTGCAGTTTCCGTATTAAATTATTATTAGATATGCTTTCAACGCTTACAACTCTCCAGCGACGAAAACCTCATATTTATAATCCGAGTTGGCTTTGTCCTCAATGTAACTCTTCTCCTGAGACTTTAGACCACTTGTGGACTTGTCCTTATATTTTACCGGAATTTAGCCCTTTAAATACCTTTAAAACATTACTGTTGGCTCTTCGGACTAATTATCTTGATAAATTCCTTTCCGCATCATCTTTGATATCTTTACCGGACTCTTTTGCTGCTGAGTTTACGGCTCTTAATTGCTGGGATTGTGACCCTCCTTCAATTTCCTGCCTACGTCTCGCAAGAGGACTTATACCGATATCTCTTACTAAATTTCTTGGAATTTACTTTTCTTCACCTACCATATGGTCTATCTTAGATACACCTTTGCATGACTTTCATTTTAACCTTTATGTTCAAATCTGGTTGTGCCGTTCTATTTTCTTTCATCATTGGGAATCAGCTCAAGGCATCACTAAAAAAATGAAATCGTCAGCTCTTGGGCCTTCTTCTATTTCTCATACTTCCTCTAATATCCTTCCTGATTCTTCAACACCTTCTCTGGCGACAGTTTCCTTGGATTCCTGGGTTTCTTGGGTTTCCTCTTCTATAATCCATGGGGGATCTTAGATTTCACACTTGGATTTTTGGCGCCGCTTAACAGTTCAGCCTCTACTTAGGATTTCTCTTTGGGAACGGATTGGATCTTAGGGCATGCTGGATAGTTGACTCACACTGGCCTTCGGGTAAAGATGGGGTATGCGTTTCTGTAATAGTTTAGTTTTTCTTTACTTAATTTTATTTTGTTTAGATTTCTTTACTTGTATGAATCGTGAAGCTAGTTCTTTTTTATTTTTGTTTAATTTTCTATATTTTGTAATATTGTTCGATTTGATTATTGTACTTTTCGTTTAAAATTTATAATAAAAATAAAGTCTTAAGACTGTTTGCTCATAATCACCAAATATGGACTGTCCCAAATGTGTGACTATAAAGAGAGTTGACTGTATGTCATAAAATGTATTTTTACTTCAGTACTTAAAGTTTACTTTTGAGTTATATTAGTATTATTTGGGATCCTGCTATAAATCGTCTTGATTAGATCAGTAGATAGTTAAATATTTTTGAATTACTATAATTATTCAAATTTAAGAGCGTAAACTTTTGTAATATTATGTTTTTAGTGTAATATTTTGAAATTTTACATCACCTCTAAAATATTACACTAAATTACGTCTAAACAAATTTTCTGATGTATAAACTTTAAGTAATATAACAACAATTCACAACATAATAGAAATGAATGAAATAATCAAATAAGCTCAAGAATGAAAGTGATCAATAAAGCAATTATAATGACTAATAAGCCTAAAATTAATACAACAGAAAATACCAAAAAAAAAGATAAACAATGCAGGAAAATAATAACAAGGCCACAGAGTACTAAAAACAAATAAGTAGGTAATACGACTGTAAGTAACTGAATATAAGTAACATTATAAACATAAGTAAGCAACACTATAATATAAGTAGGCAATACTCTTATAAAAGTGTTGCTTATTAATGCTAGTAAAGATTTATAATTCAAATATTCTATTTATTTGTACAAATATAATTATCATGCTTTTTAAAATTCTGTTATCCTCCATATAAATCATCTAATAAAAAGATTATTAGTAAATTATCAAATTATCAGAGATTATAGCAGTAATCTAAGTAATAATCTAATAATCTATGGTTTATATGAACCTGGTGTAAGAGGTAGTAGAATTCTGAAAAACATGACAAAAAAAACATGAATACAAAAAACACAAAACTTTATTATTGTTGGCCAATTCGAATCATATAATGTTATACAAACTTCCAAAAAAGGGGCCCGTTAAAGCGGGGTAGAATCACGTGATTTAAAATTATTATGATTTGATAAATTTTTTATAAACTAAAATTAAAGTAAACTTGAAAATCATTAAATGAGTGTATTTCGGCCTGCTCCACAAGTTTACTTAGGGAGAAAAAGTGGATTTTGAACAATGTTTTTATGAGCAAACGAATTTTGCCGATCATACCCAAAAAAGGATAGATCAATTTTAACGAAATTGAAAAAGTTGAATAAATCGAAAACGGTATTCTAAACCTCATTTTGTGCTCTAAGTAAACTTGCAGAACAGGTTAAAATGCACTTAATATATGTTTATTTGGAAGGTTTTATATATAATAAAGAGTTTTATTTAAAAAAAAGAAAAATTTCGAAAGTCACGTTGTTAACCGATTCGGTACGTTGAATAGATTAACTATGATTTGCAGTCAGGGAGATTAAGTACGTTTAACTATGACTGAAATCCAATCAAACAAGACACGCTTAAAAATAGGGAGTTCGTTTATAGTGTAAAAGGTTATACTTTATTATAGAACTTTATAATTACAAGAATGAGAATTAAGGAACTAAAGATAAACTAATTCGAACTGAAGGAACTTCCCTTATAACGAAGGAAAATACCAACGTTATTTATATAAAAGTTACTACATATAAAGATATAATAAATATAATAGATATAATAAATATAAGAAATATAACTAATATAATAAATATAACTAATAAATTAAATATAATAAATAAAATAATTATATCGATTATATTAAATATAATTAATATAATAAATATAATAGAAATAATAGGCTAAGTAGGCTGCAGCTAGGTCAGCTTGGCACAGTTGGGCACAGTAGATCCTAATTTTCCACATGATCTTCTGGCGTAGTAAGTTGTAACTTTACACGTGACTAGGGTAACAGCGGCTATTACTTCTGTTTATCAATCTGTTTTTGGTAGTAAAATGAAATATGCAGGACTCTCTTATTTAGGTATAGTCCAATCTGAAACAGCACAAAAACTATTAGAAGGAGTCATATTTTGTTCTTTTATTGTTGAAGTAGAAAATATCACAGTTTTTGTTAGTTGTCTTGGTAAAATTACTATATCAAAAACAAATAAAATTGGCCATAATTATGCAGCATCATTATTTCATAAATACAGAAGAGTACAATCAGTTTTTTATCAACACGTTGATAAAAATTCTTTTTTAATTACAATATATCAAAACAGTCAAATCGTTGCTGAATATATAGATATTTCATTTAACGCTGTTTGGAAAAAAACTGGAGTTTTGACATCTATATTAGGCGAAACTTTATTTATTATAAATCATTCTTTAACTTTAGATAGAATAAACCAAGCACGTCAAGAACTTTATTCACATAAATTACCTAATGAATGCACACTTGCAGATTGGAATAACAAGATAATTATGAAGCATTTATATGAATTGTATTTAAAAAGAAATATTAGACGATCAGTTGAATGGCATCAAATATTTCAAAATTGGATATAACAAAAAAGTAGCATTATTGAATTATATACCCATTTTGATGATACATACAATATAGATTATGAATTTCAAGAAAGAGACGGAATTGCGGGCATGGTATATAATGGTATATAATGCTTTGTGCTACAGGATGTACGAATATTACTCCATATAACAAAAATATTTCTTGTGTAAGTATAAATACATATATGGTGTTATTGATATTGTAAAATTATAATATTAATACTGTACTATCTGTAAATCTGTATATTTATAGAAGGAGTTTTGGACGAATGCATCTGAACCTGAAAAAGATCGTGAAACAATTGCCAAATTATATGCAGAAGAACTTTTGTATGTAACTTCACCAACTCGTGCATTATGGGATTGTTTTCGTAATAGTTATAATACAAATTCCAAAGGAATAGATGGTAAAACACGCATATTATCAATAATTGCAGAAAAATTTACATATAAGGAGATAATTGAAGAGTTAAAGGTAGTGTGAAATTTTTGATATATTATAGAGACATGTATATAATATTTCATTACTCATTAGTATAATTATTTAGGTTTCACCTAATTCAGTTAATGCAGCACGAAAACATTCCAGAATTAATGGATCTGGATGTCCTATACTGGAAAAGCCAGTTATTGTTCGTTCAAAAATGTCAGAGATCAAAGAAAAAGAATTCCAACTATTTTTTGCAGACAAAGCAAATGTAAACATGAGTTCTTACAAAATAGACGCAAAAACACAATTACCAATACTTTATTTGAAAGATCAAAAAAGTGCTCTTTGGGAAAAATTTTCTGCTACTTATCCTGATGGAATGAAACGTACTTCTTTTATGTCCCGTTTACAAAATAGCCACTTCAAATATAGAGAAGATTTGGGAGGGTTGTGTATAACTTGCAATGATTATGGGTATCAACCTTTTGAAAATTTGATTGAATTAGCGACTATAAATTTTTCCAATAAAATTCAAAGGGTTAGTATTATTGGTTGAATTTTTATTTTCTTGTTCAATCTAATTATATTTACATATAATTTTTTTGTAGGATCAGTTAATCCATGAACTAGAATGTTTACGTCGTCATTTAAAGCGAAATTACGAAAGGGAATTATTTGTACATAAGAGTGGTACTACCGATCATGTGAATTGTATTAATCATTGTTTATTATTTGCATTTGGAGAATGCACACAACAACATTTTTCACGGTGTCAAGAGTGTGACAAAATGTTTATTTTATTCAAAGATCTTACTAATCAACTTGACGTTATCCATCATCCAAAACTCTTAGAATATCAAGAACAACTAACATGTTATTTGGCTCATCAAACTCGTAAAGCATACCTAAATGCTCAATTTAATTCTATTTTATGTGAATTAGATGACCATGGAGCCATTATTGTAGTTGATTACAAAATGCGAATTTTACCTGCAACAGCTTGGGAAACAAAGAGTGAATTTTTTGGAAAGCGTGGATGGACTCTCCATACGACTCTAGTGTTTCAAAAAGACAAAAATAATTCCAAAAAATTAGATATTCAGGCTTATGACCATTGGAGTTCTGATACCAAGCAAGATGCTTGGTTTACAGCGTCATGTTTTGAATCAGTATTTATGACAATTAATCCTAAACCTCTCTGGATTAAAATTATTTCGGATAATGGAGGACATTATCATAATTCAGAACTAATGGCAATCATTAGTCATTGGTATGATTGGTATAATGTAGAAGTACGTGGATGGATTTTTCTTGAACCAGGAGAGGCGAAAACAACAGTTGATTCGCATCACGCAACGGTAAATAATTATTTTGATGTAATTTTTATTTTTTTTCTCATTTTATGTTAAACAATTATAGATTGCACATGCGATCAAAAGATATGTTAGAATTGGATGTGATCTTACTGAAGGCGAAAATATTGAAATGGCACTTCAAGATCTAAGCGGGACATCAGTATCACACATAGAACCAAATCGGGATATAGAAACATTAGTTGATCAAGAAAATTTAGATCAAGAAAATTCGAGGTAAGTTTATTTTCAATTATCTCAATAAAATAAAGATATAATCGAAAATAGAATGATAGATCTATAATTTTATAATAGATCAAAAGTGTAAATTTATTGTGAAATCTTATTTGTAATAAAAAATAATAACACGTAGTAAAACTATTTATAATTGAAAATACAATAAATAGAACACTAAAACTAGTAAAACAAAAATAAAAAATAGAATCATTAGGTTTATAATTTTATATTAGATCAAAAGTGTAATTTATTTTGATTTTATTTATAAACAAAAAAAAAATACAACTATACCGGTAAAATTATTTATAATTGATGAAAATACAATAAATAGAATACTGAAACAAAAAATTACTGGTAAAACTAAATAAAAAATATTGTTCATAAATAATGGAGCGTAATAAAAATGATAGAACGCTAGCAAAAAAAAAAAAAATAATATCAATTATAAAATTACATAATAGGGATAATCAAAAACCAAAAAATACCAAAAATACCAAAGAAAAAAAAT